AAAAGTGGGCGAAGGATATGAACAGACACTTTTCAAAATAAGACATATGAGGCCAACAAACATGAAAAAAAGCTCATCATCATTGGTCATTAGAGCAATACAAATCAAAACCATATTGAGATACAATCTCACGCCAGTTAGAATGGCGATCATTAAAAAATCTGGAGAAAACAGATTCTGGAAAGGATGTGGAGAAATAGGAACACTTTTACACTGTTGGTGGGAGTGTAAATTACTTCAACCATTATGGAAGATGGTGTGGCGATTCCTCAAGGATCTAGAAATAGAAATTTCATTTGACCCAGTAATCCCATTACTGGGTATATACCCAACGGATTATAAATTGTTCTATTATAAAGACACATGCACACGTATGTTCACTGCGGTGCTGTTTACAATAGCAAAGACCTGGAACCAATCCAAATGTCCATCATCGATAGACTGGACAAAAAAAATGTGGCACATATACATCATGGAATACTATGCAGCCATAAAAAACGACGAGATCGTGTCCTTTGTAGAGACATGGATGAATCTGGAAACCATTATTCTCAGCAAACTGACACAAGAGCAGAAAACCAAACACCACGTTTCACTCATAGGTGGGTGATGAACAATGAGAACACTTGGGCACAGGGAAGGGAACAACACTCACTGGGCTAGGTGAGGGGTGGATGGGAGGGGAGGGAGGGACAGTGTGGGGTGGGGGAAGCATGGAGAGGGATGGCACCGGGAGAAATGCCTGATGTAGGCGATGGGGGTCGGGAGAGGGATGGAGACAGCAAACCACCATGGCATGTATGTACGTATGCAACAATCCTGCAGGATGCAACATGTGCACATGTACCCCAGAGCCCAAATACAATTTTTAAAAAAGCCATTTGCTGGCATATGTGGTAAATATTTTCTCCCTCTCTTTTGATAAGTATATTTGGTCATTTTTGGCCACAGTATTATCTGTGTTTTTCTTTATGACCTCCAGGTCTTGAGTCTTGTTTATAAATACCTTTCCCACTTCAAAAATTATCTTTTGTATATCCTAGGATTCTTATGGTTTCCTTTTTTGTGTGTTTAAATCCGGTGTCCAAGGAAAGGACCTGGCTCCTTCCCATGCCTGTGGCTGACATCCTCAGGAACCTGTTTCCCCACTGCTGTCACAGGCCCTCTGCCCCTGAGTAGGCATGCTGCCTGCAGGGCAGGTGTCTGTTCCTTGTGCAGTTGCTTCTGTGTCCAGGCTCCCTCTTCCTTTATTGATCTATTTGCCTCTGCCACCAAACTACTTTAAGCTGGCTTTATACTGTGTGTTAATATTTATCCTATTATATTTAATATAAATCCCCAGATTTATGCTCGCTCTTCCTACAAGTTCATATATGCAACTTAATATTATTTTGTTAGTGTCTTCCCAAAAAAGTGATGTTGAATTTTGAGATTATTTAGGTATAATTGGCACCTTATGATACTGAGAGTTTCTACCCCAAGGAATGTCTCTAATATCAATTTTAGAACCACCCTACCCCCATCTGACAAACTTTTCCAGTCGACTGATGAAGAAAAATGCTTGTGCACCACAAGTTCCTGACTGCCAGGTTGGGACTCATGGCATTGGAATGTTTTCATAGATGTAACAATCCAAGAAAAGGAATGCTTACAAGAAGCAAATTTCAAGTATGATCATCCTTTTAAGAGCAGCCCAAAATTACTCTTGTTTTTTCAAAACATTTTCTCAGCTGTCTAGAAATAATATATGGGCCAATCAAGTGTTTAGGTGTTTCACGCTGAGATTGTCTCATAGCACATTTGAGGGGATTATAAAGACCATATCTATCTCTCTCTGCTCCCACCACTGCCCTGGAAATGCTGGAATGAGTGAACACATGAAAGGAACATTTGTGCTTTTCATTGCTGTCTCCAATGTGCTTGCCAAAGACAATGAGACATGGTCCTTGACCTTAAGAAGGTGACAGAGAAATATCCAATTCCAGTATAGAAACTGGATGGTCAAGTTATAATTGGGGATATTTACAAGCAAACCAGACAAAGGAGAATCCGGCTGGGGATTCAGGGAAGCCATTCAGAGGAGAAAATACATTATTTCAGCTGAGACTTGAAGGCATTTTCAGAAGAAAGGGAATGCTAGGTGGAAGGACTCGCATTTGGATAGACACAAAGGAATATGGATAGTTGACTTATGTGCAGTTCACAACTACCACAAATTGGGAAAGGAGGAAAGAAAACAGGCTAAATGAACCAAGATCATATGTGAGAGTTGGGGATGGCATAAAAAGTGGCAGTGGGGGTGTTTGGGAGGTGGGGAAAGGCCACCTCTTTCTGCATGTTGTGGTATTTGCCCCAAGGAATATAATGTCAACAGAAAGACTTGGTCTGGTAGGAAAGCTTAATCGGAGCCCCAGATGGCTTGTGTGACTTCATAATTTCTGTTGTACCTATTTTCTCAAGGAAAGGCAATCATAGGAGAGAGGACAGAGTCTGCTGTTTTTATTTTCTGGAAAACACAAGATGTGAAGCCAGGGAGAGCTTGCAGAAGGGCAGGAGATGATATCGCAATCTATGCAATGGAGTTGATTTCTTCTTATAGAAAGGATTTTTACGGTTTTTACTCCCAATTTCACCCTTAACAACTCTGAAACTGAAAACAGCCCTGTTAAATTCAATTAAGTGGTTCACAGACCCACTAGACTAGTATCTGCACATTTCCACAAGAGCCACTTGCTCCTCAAATGCCCAAATGAACTCTGATACTGAAGCAAGATGCAGATATTTCCATTTTAATCAATAACTCAAAATTCATCAAGATTAAAGTCATCTCTAAGGATGTAGCAGGACTTTATGGAGAAGTCCAGTATGAGCAGAGTCCAAGACCCTAAGGAGTTTGGTGGCTGACAAAGGCAGAGGAGGAAACTAGGCCTGCTTCACAGAACTTGAGGAGGTGGTAACTCATCAGAATGAAGAAACTGGGCTCAATTCCAGTTGGCTTGGTTGTGTTTTCTCTTGCTTGGAGCGCTTGCAGTACTTATATGACAGAAATGCCATGCCACAGACTCCAAGAAGCACAAGAGAAAAGAGAACATACAAAGCTGTCTGTGCTGCTGCGGTGCTGAGCATTAGCCCCAGGAACTGCACCTCCTGCTCTCTCATGGGGCTGACGGTGGGTCCAGCATCTAGGAGAGGACACAGGGTGGTTGATGTTTTGGTACTGATTGAGTTCTCAGATCTCTGAGACCCCAGCAGAGGCTGCATGGTACCCCAAATCTGCACAGCCAATTGACAGATTGCTGAGGTAGAGGTACCCATCCTCTTTCAACTGTGTGTCAGAAGCCTCTGAGTGAAGTTAAGCAGTTGTATTTTTTAAAATCTCTATCAGCAATTAGAATACAGGTTGAATATCCCTTATCTGACATGCTTGCTTCGGATCAGAAGTGTTTCAGATTTGTGATTTTTTTTTTAAGATTTTGGAATATTGGCATATACATAATGAGAGATTTTGGGGATAAGACCCAGGTATTCATATATGTTTTTATATGCAACTTATCCACATCGTGTGAAGGTAATTTTATACAATATTTTAAGTAATTTTTTGCATGAAACAAAGCTTTAACTGTGTTTTGACTGTGACCTGTCACAGGGGGTCAGGTGTTGAATTTTCCATTGTGGTATCATGCCAGTGCTCAAAAAGTTTCAGACTTTGGAGTATTTTGGATTTTGAATTTTCAGATGAGGGATTCTTAGCCTGTATAATCGAAACTGGATAATTGTTGTTTACATTTGTGTAGTGGTTGATACTCTTTCTTTCAACAAATATGGGGCACCCCCATTGTGCAGGCATTGTACTTTCACGGTCCCTTTATTTGATCCTTGTAACTGCCCAGAAGCATGTGCCTGGATTTTTACCTATGGGTGCACAGCAAGTTAGTGGTAGGGCTGGAAGAAGAATCTAGACTTGCCCATTCCCAGAGCAGGGCTCTGGTTTCTAGATGTAACACTGATCCTACGTGTCCTTTGTTCCACCCCAGGAAATGTCTGGAGCATTCAGAGAAAATAAATGTTTGTTGAATGAATGAAGGGGATGGACAGGCAGAGAGAAGGGTAATAAACTAGAAGAAAATAGACTAAGAGGCCCTTCCACCTGCCCCTTCCCCTAGGGTTTATTCCTTCCCAGAGCCACATCTCACCTGGCTGTTGGAGACAAGCGTGAGGCCCTGTAGCGGGGTCAGGGAAGCCATTGCATTGGACCACAGAAGCATAGAACTTGGCCGACGCTTTGGGGATCCTTGGCAGAGAAGGGTCACTATAGTTCACAAAATGCAGACCAAATCTCTCTGAAAAGCCTGTGGCCCACTCAAAATTGTCCATCGCACTCCAAACTGTGTATCCTCGAAGGTCCACCTTGTCCTGCACAGCTGCTCAAACACAGAGGCCTGGGCATAAGTTTCCTATCTCATAAGGTGCCTTCCTGCCAGGCCTTTGGAAGCCAGGTCTGCCTACTGCTCTCCCCACCACCCTGACTCACAGATGTTGGTAAGCTTCGGCTTTAGCTCTGTGAGAAGGCTGTCCCTTTGCATGTAGTGATTATTAGTGGGTCCTCTGTGGATAGAGATGCAGAGCTACCAGCATCTTTCTAGAAAAGCTCAGCCCTGAATGGGAGTTGGGAATACAGGTGGAACATTCAAAGAAAATAAATGTTTGTTGATGGAGGCATTGTACTTTCAGAGCATGGTCTTACTCATGGAGCCCACCCCTCCATCACTCTGAACAGATGGCTCCTTATGCCAGCTATGGAAGGCTCTGGGTGTCCCCAGCTCCAGGCTTCCAATGGATGCCAGTGCTGTGTCTTCAAAGAATGGGCTCCCCCAAGTCATTCCCCTGGGTCATCTACACTCCTATCCATGGTCTTGGTCAATGCCATAGAATGTTAATGCTCCTCCCTATAGAAAATAGCTCTTAGATGGAATAGATTTCAGCTGGGTAGGATTTTTCTAATTACTTTGCTGTTGCATTGCTGGCTCTTTTACTCAGTATTTGTTCCATTTTCTTAACCTCATGATCCCATCTCAAGTTGTTAGGGCTGAGCCAGGAGTCTTAAACTTTTGCTTGGAAACCAAGAGACCCTATAGGCAACCACCCAGCCTACTCCTCCCGGGCTCTACCCAGACCATTGCAGGAGGGCACTGCTGTTTGAAATCAGGGAGGATCAAGGGGAGCAAGTGACTCAGGCCAGGAACTAGGGTTTGGTGGCATCAGGCCACTGGGCTTGCTTGCTGAGCTTAGATGTAGGACGGAAAAGATTCAGCGCAGCCCTAAAGCAAAGCTTAAACCCAACAGGAGCAAGAAGCCTTATCATTTTTTTTCTTACTGTGGCCCAAGGACATTGTATCACCCTCCTGCAGATGGCAGGTGTTTCCAACAGGGAAAGGTGCACACTGAGGAAGTGTGGGCCCATCGTACCTTTGAGGGCTTCGTTGATGTAAGTCCGAAGGTAGTAGATCCTCGCAGTGTCATTGAGGTCTGTTTCTTCCCGTTGGGACACTCCATTCTCCGTGACATAAATCGGAGGATCACTGTACTCCTCCTTTAACCAGTTCAGGATCCTCCTGAAGCCAAACGGCGTCATCTTCAGCCAGGAGGAGCCAGAGTCTGGCCACGAGCGATCTGCAATGGAGGCAACTCCTCTACAAGTTCAAAAGTTAAAGATTAGGTCTTGTTTTGTACCTCTCAAGAGGCCCTTTACACAAAACGCAAAACAGGACTTAGACCAGAAAAAGCCTTAGGTTTTGTCTAGCCATAAGAATCATACTAAACCCAGAATAATCAAATTGCTTCAAGTTCTGCTCCTTTCGCTGGTTCTAGCTGCCTGCACTCAGTGCTGGTATAGCATTGGACAAGCCACTCAGCTCTCCGCCCTTCAAGTTCTCTGCCTGTGCAGAGCATAGTCTTACTCACGGAGACTACCCCTCCACCACTCTGAACAGATGGCTCCTTACACCAGCTATGAAAGGCTCTGGGTGTCCCCAGCACCAGGCTTCTGATGGATGCCAGTGCTGTGTCTTCAGAGAATGGGTTCCCCCAAGTCACCTATGTCTAGTCAATGCCACATGCTGACCATGGGTGCGGCCACAGGCACCAATACTTATGGCCCTACTTTGTGTGATGACAGGTAGCAGACAGGCTGGGACCCGTTCAAGTGTCCAAGAGCCTGGCCTCTCTCTTCAGTGATGGACAAGGAGAGGAGACAGCTCCTACCACAGGGGTGCCTGCTGGGGAAAGCCACAGAAGCCTGATCACCTGTAGTCACACATGTCAAAGAAGGACAAAGCATTTAGACACTTCTTACACTCAGATCGGGGGTAAAAAAAACGTTAGTTTTATCAGCATCTGGATTTATGTGACTCAGCTGAATTGAATGTGGGCCATTTCATAAGCACTAGTGAGGGTCTCCGGGGAGACAGCTCCAGGGCTAATGAGGCACATGAGGTGGATAAGGGAGGGAGATTCAGGACTAGAGGGGTGCTCTGGAGTTTACTCAGTGCCCCCTTGGCGAGCCTGATTTGGGGGGTTTCAGGATGCAGTGAGAGTAGAGGGGCTGGTTTTCAAAGAAAGAACCTGGACTCAGTAAGAGCTACTGATGTGGAAAGATGCTTGAAGGAACAAAATGAGATTTTCAGAAAATGGTAGATAGGAGACAGGACTTAGGCATAGCTCCCACTTGGGTGGACAGAACCGTGTATGGACTCATGTTGTGAGCTATATTGCTCCAAGAACCACTGCAGGAATATACCAGAAAAATGGAAAGATTTCACAGACCCTTCGGAAAAAGGAGAATGCTGCTGCAAACTCCATGAGACAGCCGCAAAACTGTGAGTTCCCAAAGTGTGAGGGGGGAAAGTATGCCTCTGAACATACATCCTTTCTGGGGACCTGAAAATCCAGATTATAGGAGAAGGATTTAGCCTTACCTAGAGTTCAAGTGGGTTTAGGGAGCCGAGCAAAATATAAAAGTAGAAGAAGCAGTGAGAAGAGCCCTGTAGCCACTCCCTGTCCCCAGCTTGAGCCCAGGGAAGCCATCCCTGACTTTATCTGACAGAGGTCCTTGGGGAAGAAAGCCAGTGAAATTAGGGAGGGGCAGGATGAAGGAAGCTTACAGCTGAACTTAATTTCAACTAGAAGCATGAATTTTCCTGAGCAGAATCTTGGGGGCAAACAAAAAAATGCAGATAAAAAAGCACAGAAGCCACAGCCAACAGTGTGGGCAGGTGGGGAGGGGCAAGGCCTGAAACCTTGGGGCGAGATCTCTGCCCTGTGCACTGTTGGCAGGGCACAGCTGGAGTGAGACTGGACTTGCTGGCTGTGTAGAAGCTGGGGAGGCTTTCCCCTTTTACTGCCACCCACAGCTGGTGGCCAACCAGTTCATGCCATTACAGTAACTCATAACAGAGCAATCCTGCTCCAAAGAAGGAGAAAACAACAGCTAATTCCACTGCCTGTAACATCCTGGCTAATCAGAAGTCTTGAGTCTGTCCACATGACAACTTCACTGCTAGCATAACCAGCATTTGAGACAACCAGAGTACCAAACAAAACTATAACCAAGGACTCACAGAATCCACTTGACTCCCCTGCCACCTCCACTACAGCAGATGCTGATATCCACGGCTGGGAGACCTGAAGACACATCACATCATAGGACTCTTTGCAGATCCCAGTGGTCCTGCTGGGTGGATAGATGCAGAAGAACAACAACAATCACTGCAGTCTGGCTCTCAGGAAGTCCCATCCCTAGGGAAATGGGGCAAGCACCACATCAAGGGATCACCTGTGAGACAAAAGAATCTGAACAGCAGCCCTTGAGTTCCAGATCTTTCCACTGGGACAGTCTACTCAAATGAGATGAAACCAGAAAAGTTAATTCTGGTGATATGACAAAACAAGGTTCTATAAGACCTAGAAAAGATCACACTAGCTCTCCAACTATGGATCGAAACCAAGAAGAAATCTCTGAATTGCCAGATAAAGAATTCAGAAGGTTATTAAGCTACTCAAGGAGGTAATAGAGAAAGGTGAAAATTACCTTAAAGAAATTTAAAAAACAATACAAGATATGGATGACAAAGTCTCTAGATAAATAGATATCATAAAGAAAAAACAATAGGCCCGGCACAGTGGCTTACACCTGTAATCCCAGCACTTTGGGAGGCCAAGGCGAGTGGATCACAGGTTCAGGAGTTCACGACCAGCCTGGCCAACATGGTCAAACCCCATCTCTACTAAAAACAAAACACAAAAAATCAGCCAGGTGTGTTGGTAGATGCCTGTAATCCCAGCTACTCAGGAGGCTGAGGCAGGAGAATCACTTGAAACCAGAAGGTGGAGGCTGTGGTGAGGCAAGATTGTGCCACTGTACCCCAGCCTGGGCAAAAGAGTAAAACTCCGTCTCAAAAGAAAAAAGAAAAAAAAAATCACAACTTCTGGAAATGAAAGACACACTTAGAGAAATACAAAATATGCTGGAAAGTTTCAACAACAGACTAGAACAAGTAGAAGAAAAAACTTCAGAGCTTGAAGATAAGGCGTTCAAATTAATCTGACAAAGACAAAAAAATATTGTAAATGAACAAAACCTCGAAGAAATTTGAGAGTACTTTAAATGACCAAACATAAGAATAGTTGGTGTTCCTGAGAAAGAAGAGAAATCTAAAAGTTTGGAAAACTTATTTGAGGGAATAATCGAGGAAAACTTCCCTGGCCTTGCTAGAGATCTAAACATCCAAACACAAGAGGGTCAAAGAATACCCGGGAAATTCACCACAAAAGATAATCAACTAGGTACATAGTCATTAGGTTATCTAAAGTCAAGATGAAGGAAAAAATCTTAAGAGCTGTGAGGCAAAGGCATCAGATAACCTATAAAGGAAAACCTATCAGATTAACAGCAAATTTCTCAGCAGAAACCCTATAAGCCAGAAGGGATTGGGGTCCTATCTTTAGCCTCCTTAAACAAAATAATTATTGGCCAAGAATTTTGTATCCAACGAAACTAAGCTTCAAAAATGACGGAGAGATAGTCTTTATCAGACAAACAAATGCTGAGATAATTTGCCACTACCAAGCCAGCACTACAAGAAATTCTAAAAGGAGTTATAAATCTTGAAACAAAACCATGAAATAGAAACTCAAAATAGAACTTCACAGGGCCTATAAAGCAATGACACAATGGAAAAAAAAAAGAAAAAAAAGGTACTCAGGCAACAACTAGCACAATGAATAGAACAGCACTTCACATCTCAATACTAATATTTAATGTAAATGCCTAAATACTCCCCTTAAAAGATACAGATGACCCAAATGCCCATCGATGATAGGCTGGACAGGGAAAATGTGGCACATATACACCATGGAATATTATGTAGCCATCAAAAACGATGAGTTTGTGTCCTTTGTAGGGACATGGATGAACCTGGAAACCATCATTTTCAGCAAACTGACAGAAGAGCAGAAGATCAAACACAGCATGTTCTCACTCATAGGCAGGTGTTGAACAATGAGAACACGTGGACACAGGGAAGGGAGCACTACACACTGGGGTCTGTTGGGGGTAAATAGGGGATGGACGGTGTGGGGTGGGGAGTTGGGGAGAGATAGCAAGGAGAGAGATGCCAGATGTAGGTGATGGGGAGGAAGGCAGCAAATCACACTGCCACGTGTGTACCTATGCAACAATCTTGCATGTTCTTCACATGTGCCACAAAACCTAAAATGCAATAAAATAAATACATGGAAAAAATAAAAAAATAAAAATAAAACTTAGAACGACTCTAAAAAAAAAAAAAAAAGATACAGATGGCAGAATGGATAAAACTCTACCAGCTAAGTATCTGCTGTCTTTCAGAGACTCATCTAACACATAAGGACTCACATAAACTAAAGGTAAAGGAGTGGAAAGATATTTCATACAAATGGAAACCAAAGGTGAGGTGTAGCTATTCTTATTCTTTTTTTTTTTTGGAGACGGAATTTCGTTCTTGTTGCCCAGGCTAGAGTGTAATGGCACAGTCTTGGCCCACTGCAACCACTGCCCCCTGGCTCAAGTGATTCTCCTGCCTCAGCCTCCCAAGTAGCTGGAATTACAGGAATGTGCCACCATGCCCGGCTAATATTTTTGTATTTTTAGTAGAGACAGAGTTTCACCATGTTGGTCAGGCTGATCTCAAACTCCTGGCCTCACAAGATTTACCTGCCTTGGCCTCCCAAAGTACTGGGATTACAGGTGTGAGCCACTACACCTGGCCAGTTATTCTTACATCAGACAAAACAGACTTTAAAGCAATAACAGTTAAAAAAGACCAAGATGGGGCTGGGTGCAGTGGCCTATGCCTGTAATCTCAGTATTTTGGGAGGCCGAGGCAGGCGGATCACCAGGTCAGGAGTTTGAGACCAGCCTAACCAACATGGTGAAACCCCATCTCTACTAAAAATACAAAAATTAGCTGGGTATGGTGGCATGTGCCTGTAATCTCAGCTACTCAGGAGGCTGAGGCAGGAGAGTCGATAGAACCAGGGAGGTAGAGGTTGCAGTCAGCTGAGATCGTGCCATAGCACTCCAGCCTGGGTGACACAGTGAGACTTCATCTAAAAAGGAAAAAAAAGAGAAAGAGGAACATTATATAATGATGAA